CATGATATTATTTGTACTGGCTCTATCTGGAACAAAGGCACTCTGACAGTCAAAAATTATTTCATATAAATAAGTTTTCATACAGTTAGCTAGGGTTTTGCTAACAATTTTATCCACCACATTGCAGAGTAAGATGGGTCTCAAATCCGATACAAACTCAGGATTACCTTTCTTTGGAATTAAGATAATATGAGTGTCATTATTACCAGGAACAATTATTATTCAGGAAAGCAAAGCAGGCCCTACTGATTTCCTCACCAACTATGTGCCAAAAAGCCTGATAAAATCCAGGATTGAGCCCGTCAGGTCCAGCCGCCTTGTCTGGGTGCATTTCTTTGACCGCCATTTTAATATTTGTCATAGTAAATGGTTTCGCAAGTTCCAAATTATGCTACTCAGTCGGCCTTTGCGTCACAGAATTCAAAACCGCGTCTGTATCTCCTTGTTCAGATCGAAACAAGGAAGAGAAATAGGACGTTATATACTAACCCAAACCTATATCCCACGATAGCCATCTGCCATCAGAATCCTTCAGCTGAGCTATCGAATTTTTCTTCCGCCTAATAGAAGCCATAGAGTAAAAGAACCCCTTCCTGAAGCCAGTGTTGCTTAGCACGCTGCTTCCAATAGCACTCCTGTTGTTTGAGTAACACTGTACAAGCATCAGAAGCTGTTCTAAGTAACTGAATAGAACTTGGATCCATTTTACCCCGGTATCTCACCATCTGCGATCTGGCATCCTTTAGCTTCTGCTTAAACAAAGATCGACGCTCCTCCTACTTAGCAAGATATTCACCACAAAGAGATAACTGATTCTCAATTGTGAATCCCGACCCCCGTAGCCATGCTTCTTTGACAGCTTCCGTAATATCCAGTTCCCGTAGCCATGAGTTCTCAAATCGGAAGGATATTTTAGCGTATTGAATCATATTAACTCCCAACTGAAGAAAGATAGGAATATGATTACTGGAACACGCTTCAAGGTGCCATAAACGAGAATCCGGAAAAACCCGAATCCACTCCTGCGAAACCAGTGCCCTATCCAGCCTTTCCCAAACCCAGCGTGAAGTATTTCTCCTCCTTTCCCAAGTGTACTGATTACCCACAAAACCAAGGTCCACCAAGTCACTATTATTAACTGCCATTCAAAAATTTCGAATAAGCCACAACGGATGATCATGCACACCATGCTTTTCTAAAATAGCCAGCAACTAATTAAAGTCCCCTGCAACAACTAAGGGCAAGTCCAATTTCGTTCTCAACTCCTCAAGAAGCCTCCAAGATTGTCGACTTCCATTCGGATGGCCATAAAAACCCACAAAACGGAATGGGCTAAATCCAGTAATAGAAACCTTAACATCAATATGGTGAGTGCTGGAACTAATAAGAGAAACACACTGATTATCCTTCCGCAGTAAAGCCGAATCACCGCCGTGCCCAACGGGTGGTACAACATAAAGCCCATCAAAACCCAATAGACGTCTCACTCTATCCAACTTATCAAAACCAACTAAAACTTCTATTAGAAACACAATCCTGGGTCTCTTAATGGACACAAGGTCCTTTAACTCACGAACTGTACGTCGGTTTCCAAGCCCAGAACAGTTCCAGCAAAGAGTACTCATTGGGCATTGGGCCAGGCGGGCCCAGAACAGTTTCCAAGCCTCTAACAAGTTTTTTGCATCCACTTTCACGCCTCCTTAGCCTGATTCTCCAACTCCAAACGCTGCCGCTTTTGGTCAGAGACAATCAGAGAGTCCCCCACAGATCATCATGCAGAGGTATACCCAACTCACTTTCCTTACCATCCACGTTAGTAGACACACTGCGAACCACCGGAATTAGTCCTATTTCCTTGAATCGGACTCTCCGTGGTAGAAGCCAGCACCAAGGAAAAGATCTAATCAGCCTCCATTGGGACCACCTCTTCCTTAGAATTTCGGCCACCATTTAACGCCGCCTCCTATGGCAGCCATTTTTCTCCGATATTTGCCACCTTTCTACTCTCCGCCCGCATCCAAGGTCCGTATGCAAACTGTTCTTTGCTAATATTTGGATACTCAAATAACTTGACACAATACCGATCTGTATGTCCAAGAAAACAACACCTCTCCCCCCCCCCCCCCCCAAAACACTTGACACAATACGATCATGTTGTCCAGAGAAAACAAACCACTTCTCCCCCCCCCTCCCCCCCTCCCCCCCCCAAAAAAAAAAAAAAAAAAAAAAAAAAAAAGAACGACGAAAAAAAAAAAAAAAAAAAAAAAAAAAAAAGACGGTCTTTCATACTTGAAAGTGAACCACATCCATTCTCACCCCGGCTTCTTATTCTGCATACGGTGTTTCAAAGGCTTATGGATATCAATTGAAACACGGATCCTCATATACTCCTTCCATATTCCCGAAAAGTTCTTCGGGTCAGCTGCTAAATATATTCCAATATAATTACCAACGCTGCACCCAAGTTTTTCTGACATGAATCCTATAGGTAAGTTAATTATGAATTTGAACCCGGAACTCAACCCTCGTTAACGCCACTTGTTTGGGTCAGTCCCTTCCGGAACTTGTTTGAGAATAATCAGGTTCTGAGAAAAGTTCCATGGGCCACCTGTTACCACTCTCTATAGACCAGTCGGATGCATAAACTGCAACACAAATGCATTATTACCTAGATCCTTGGCAAGCATCCCTTTAACAGGCCTCCATACTGAAGCCATCATATTTTTAAACGCAAGAAAGTTAAAAGGCTTGTCTTGCAACAGTCAGCCTACAACACACAAAGGTGATTGGGTGGGATCCTGATTCCTCTTATCTGTCTCCTCCAACTCAATCCGACCTTGTGCCTCCTCCACCCTCAAACCCGCATGCTGCTCTTCTAGCGAGCTCTCATCCGTGCCAGGTCAGCCATGAAAGCCGTAGAGAAGTAGAAAAAAAATGAAAATGACGGCGCTTGTCAATTGACAAGAGAGAATTTAGAACTTGTCATGCGACAAGAGATTCTTATACGAGCACATACTAATTACTAATTTTTTCAAACCCGCGCTGCATGTTCTCTGTACTAGCTGATTTTTACATATTGCAAAGTAAACATTATCCATAATATATTTTTAATAATAAAACATCAATGATTTGACAACCAAATTTTTATGAAAATAAAATTACTTTTAATCAATTTAAATTTTCTTATAACGATTTAAATTTAATTAGCTTAACTTTTTTTTTATATAATATAATATCATAAACTATGTATAATACTAAAATATAAAAAACCAATGTTAGCTATTATAATGATTAATATATTAATCATTTTAAAGCATCACTTATAATTTTTGGTATTTATTTTTTTTACTTTTTCTAAAGTCTATGAGCATATAATTAATTTTACGATTGATTTTTTGAGGAAAAAATTCTTTCAATGCATTATATGGTTTGCTAATATAATGTGTTATATCATAATATTTTTTTCAAGTGAATTTTATTTTCTATTTTATTTCAAATAATAAATCTTCTAATATATTCTTTAATAAATAATAATAAAATATATTTTTTAGAATAAGTTACTTGCAGAAAATAATTCTAACCAATTAAAAGTTTATTAAAAATAATAATTAATATATTTTTTTAGAATAAGTTACTTGACAGATAACATACATTCCTAACCAATTAAAAACAGTTTATTAAAACAATAACTAACATTAAAATTATATATTCTTACCTATATTTAATATGTTCTGGTATAATCAACCAATCAAAAATAAATGACCTTTATCTTTTCATCAATAAAAATTAAAATACTCGTTATATTTTCTATCATATTAGTATATATGTTATTGTAGTATATATTCCATCAAATAAATTACCTACATAATATTGTATATGTTTGTCATTTAATGTCCATACCATGTGGTGTCAGGGTGTGGTAGTGGTGATGCGGAGTAGGTGTGGGAGATAGGGAGTGATACATGTATGGTGACGCTTGAGTTGTTGAGGGTAGTGGGTTAGGGGGATGAATGTTAAAATATTATATTCTTACTATATTTAATATGTATCTTGTATAATACAACCAATCAAAAATAAATGACCTTTATTTTTCATCAATAAAATTAAAATACTCGTTATATTCTTATCATATTAATATATATGTTATTTAGTATATATCCATCAAATAATATTACTATATAATATGTATATGTTGTCATATAATAGTATTACCATATTATATTATATTATCATATTTAATATATACATTATGTACCTTATTTTGATATTATATAATATGAGTTTCAAAACTTTTGATTTCAATTATAAAAAAAGTGGAACAGAATACTGTTATCATAGTATATAATATAATTTTATATTTTATCAAATAAAATTTAGATTTAAAGAAAATTAATATAGCCGATCAAAATTAAATAACTTTTAATTTTTCACCAATCAAATTAAAATTCTTAATGATATTTTTACCCATCCATAAACTTATTAGAAACATTTTAAAAACGTAATGTCCCGTTCATACTTTTATATGTATAATAAAGATTATAGATATTGATTTTGCACTTTTTTTTTTAGCAGCTGGACTAATAACAAAATCCAATAAATAGCCAAAATTAGAGTATGACTCACAAAGCCAAAAGTTTAAACATAATTTACTTTTTATTCAAACATAACCATTGCCTCTCTTTAAATTTTATCATTTGAAAACTTGCAATATTATCAACATAATAGCAGAACTTCATGAATTCTTTCAATCCGTCTCTGACTGAGAACACCTATCATCGTATAAGGGATTGTCACTTGACAGCCCAATATTTCACCAACCTAAAACCAAGGCTTCATTTGGATGGAGAAAATGATAATTAAAGTAAGATATAGTACATTAATGTAATGGTATTTTTCTATTTTTGAGCGCAAAATAACGTGCATGTTATTTAATAATATCGTATTGTTTGGTTCGAAAGTATTAGAAAATAAAATTAAATGTCAAAATTACTATAATAGGCTTTTCATGAAAATTGTTATTTCAGATATACAAATTCATCGAACTATGAAAGGGCAACTTGATATTTTTAATTGATATACATGGATAATAAGGAAAACTAACCCCTTTCAACCTCTCCAACCGCCTCAATTTGCTGGTTACAAAATGGAGTTTTCGGAAAGTTTTTAACCCAACTTTAAGACAGCCTGGCAGCAAGTGTATATACAACCTGATAAAAAAAAATTAAAAAAAATGAAACCTTCCCCCCCATCAAACTGTCTTCCCAAATAGCCCAATAACTTCAAACCTTACTTTAACCTCCAAAACCCCCAAATACCCTCCATCCAAATAAATTAAAGGGTCAAGAATCACCCATCGAACCAACTTTTTTATGGAACTTCCAAGTCACTCCTCAAAGCAGCCACCTTCAGCATTCAATCTTGAACTCTAAAATATAAACATTCAATAATTCAAATGAGGGAAAAGAAACAGCGCACTTTTGAAACTGATCAGGCCAAGGAGGATTAAAATTGAATATCAAGCATAACTACCACAAATAGCGAAACACCAATCTGTCATCATCATGAAGCAAATAGCAACTCCAACCGTGCACTCTGTGGTTAGTGCCTACTCACCAATCCAAACTATTCAAACATCAATTTTAACAGAACTTGGTACAGCACACTCATAAAACTGTGTAAAACTTTGTGACAACTCAACTGTAAGGCCACACTTACTAAAATCAATACAAGGGGCGTGCAATGGTATGATACAATGTACAAATAGGCAGAAGAATATGCCTTGTTTGGTATGGCACAAGGAGACAACAAATCAATCCAACATCATTAATACCCTTAAGATGTGATCTTGATGTCTAAAGGGTATGATAAATGTTGGCTCACTTTTTAAGTTTTCAGGCACATACCTAAAAGTTCCAGTCACATACTGCAATTCAAATTAGCATTCTGGAAGAGACTGAGCAGAGGCAAATGGGGAGAAACTTGCAGCAGATTCACTATAATGGAGCGGGTGAGGATGCCGATGACTTGAAGAACTTATTAAACTAGGTGAGGCATTGCTTGGGCTTGGAATATATGGAGACATGTATCTTGAGTTAAGAGGTGATATTGATGGGTAACCCAATGAATGAGGGGACATCAAATGTGAAGCAACGGACCTTTGCGAAGATACATGCCTTAGACTTGCTGAGCTGTGGCTTATACTTAGAGAAGGTGATTGATGGTACGATCTAAAAGACTGCTGGATATAAGGGGTGCTAGAAAGAGAGGGAGCATGAGAAACTGAAGGGTTTCGTGATAATGCGGGGGCAATTTGAATTGACATTGATGTTGCGGATCTAAAGGAAGACAACAGAGAAGATGAAGCCAAAGAACCTGCACTAGACAAAAGTAACGGTGTGGATTCCGATGCTGGTGGATCACCGGTGCTAGTTCTTGCATCACGTTTGCATACTGGGCAAAAAGTTCTCCATGAAGTAAGCCAAGAGTCCACGCAGAAAGCATGGAATTCTGTAAAGGTCCAAGAACATATGATTCAGCTACTAAAAATACAGGAAAATGAACACAAATTTCCTAATTAGCTTCAAATACATGCATTATTTATGAATGGCAAGATCATGGTTATCACAGGCGCACCTGAAGCGCAAATTTCTCCAATAGCTTCAAATACATGCATTATTATGAACGGCGCAACACATTTATTCACACTTATTGTGTGGATGCACATACAGAGCAAAGATATTCAGGTGCCCATGCGAATTCAACACTTTACATTCTTATAATAATAGACACACCATAATCTTGGTTCAGTCAACTAGTTTTCTAATTCCAAAAGCAAAAACAGGAGCAATTACTTCTTTTTTCGAGGTCTTACATACACACATTGGAAAATCTATCTGAAGATGATATAAACTTTTATCTAGCAATAGAAGTTCTTGCAGCTGCTCACCATTTAAGTCTCATTCACAAGTAAATAGTGAGAGCAAGTATTAGCAAGTCAGCAAACAAATTGGACAAACGAAGGGGTTAGTGTGTATCAGTAGCGACTTTGCCCCATCAATTTAAGGACGAACTGATTTTAGCCATTACATGGAGCTTATAGCAGATGAATCAACACCATATCATTCAGTCCTAATCAGGTTTTCTTCGTGTGTTTTTGTTTTATAATGAGGAAATAAATCGTTGTTGATGTAAATAATGGAGAATATAATAGAACAACGTGCTAAACTGTTCCAACTCAATATGATAAAAAATCCTGCATAACGAGAAGCTACTATCATTTCTTCATTATACATTGAGCCCGTCAAACCTAATGCACAAATATATAGAGCAGCACTACAACTCAAATCCTCAGTCAAAAACTCGCAAAGCAATTTGAAGTTTCTCTGTTCATACAACCAAGGGCATCTTCCATACAATAATCAGAATTTCGGATCATTTTCTACTCATTTGGCTTCTTGAATCAAATTCCTCTTGCATAGTTATACATCAACAGTTCTATGTTGCACTCTAACAAAAACATTGATGAACCCTTCTTCATATGCTACTGCAATCCACCTCTTGATCAATTTTTATGAATTAATTCATTTTTTATTCTATCTTTCAGCACTCAATTCTATAAGCATTCAGTGCTCTCATTTCAATCATCTCTATTTTATGGACATTATTTGTAGTTGAGCAGCACTAGTTTATGCATAAAACATATTAAGCACCCTGTTTTTCACACAAAATTTGCCGTATTTGTATATACAAACAAGCAAAGCAGCAGACTCTCCATTCCACCCACCCACTAACTTATAGCAGCATCCTCAACTTTCCTTTGTTGGCAACTTATCCATTCAATGAACAAAAATGATGACTCTTAGATGTTTCTTAGTTACCAGATTATCCTATATGTTATGTCCATTCCCAATATTATTAAATTTGATATCTGCAATCACACCACAATCCTGCTCTAACTAAACCCACTTTCATAATCCTACTTAACCTGAAAGTTGAAACCCTCCAATAGTTCCAAATTATGAAACCCAGCTCTTTTCATTAATTTCATACAAAACATATCTGGAGCATTAAATTTTCCTTTTAATTTAGGAATGCATATAGCTATTCACTGCATACGTCTGGTATGGCCTAGTACAGTGCTCACCTGTGAGTTTCAAATTTTCTGTTAAAGTTCTGTGATATGGTAACTGGAACTGGTACAGGTCTACCAGCCTCAGATTTAATATACCAAGAAAATGTTTTCTTTATTTTCTGTAATTCCTTTGTTAGGATGGGTTAGTGCAGAAAGTGTTGTTACACTTGTGCAGGACTCTATCACAACTAGAATAATAGCCAACTATGACTAAGAGGGTAAAAATATCAGCCAGATTAACTTGTAATAGTACTTCATGCAGCAGTCCAGTTGTCATAATTCTCAAGAATAATTAACCGATTTAAACTTATAATCTCAAGAGCAAAACAAACATTGTGCAAGACTATTCCCTAACAATTGAAAGCACTCTTCCAAACTGAAAAATCTATGAAAACAGCATGCTTCCATATTAAAGCATACACATTGAGCATATTCTGTAAGAAAGCAATAATCATCCTTTTAAAGTTGGGGTTGAGGGTAAAGGAGAGGGGAAGACTTACTGTGCCGACATGGAAGGATCCTGAGCTTTTCTCCAACACTATAGTCTTCAAGGCATATGGCACAAGTTCTTGAAGTACAGTTATCCTCTAGGACAGCAGTGAATATTACGCTTGGCATTGCTTTCACCAAGCGGCTGCTCATCCCATGGAACTCTCTAACGTGAGAAGAATGAGGCCGCTCTCTTCTTATACGATGCCTACGAACAAAGAAGCAGGTAGCGAGCACAGCAGACATGGCCAGAAGAGAAATAAAAGAGATTGCCATGATAGACCATGCTGAATTTTCAAAACTTGGGATTAACCACACCTCCATGCCACTTAACCCAGCATAATTCTTGAGCTTTTCACCTGAAGATTTAGATATAAATACGGCATGTATTTTTATACCAGCCGAATTCCCTGCCACTGCAAGTTTTCAGAATTCTAAGTTAGGATCTCTGTAATAACTTAAAATAGAAGGTCAAATTATTCTTTGTCACGTACACACACACACACACACACACACACACACACACACGCACAGAGAGAGAGAGAGAGAGAGAGAGAGAGAGAGAGAGAGAGAGAGAGACATCTGCAAGTTTTCAGGGAATTCTAAGTTAGAGATCTCTGTTAATAACTAAAATAGAAGGATCAAATTCTTCTCCTGTCACGTACACACACTACACACACACACACACACACACACACACAGCACAGATGACGAAGAGAGAGATGAGAGAGAGAGAGAGAGAGAGAGAGAGAGAGAGAGAGAGAGAGAGTGAGAGAGTATCGAATAGAAATTTAGCACCTTATATAAATGTTTTTTATCGAATTCACCCAAATGTTATTTTACCTCAAGCTGCTTTTGAGTAGCTACTCAAATAATCAATCATCTAGAGGTTAGCTACGAGTCAATACCTTGGACCAGCAATTCAGTTGTTGAATGCCTACCTTACAGTACAAGACATTAGACAAATGCCTGCATCCTACCCCTTGACTTAAATTTTAAAAAAGATAAAAAAAAAAAAAAAAAACAGAAATCTTGAAAAAAACAGAAATCTTGTGTATAACGCAGAGGTTTCCAGCATATTTACCTAAACTAGAATATATTATGACAGAAGATAGCATCTCAAACATGTTAATATGCTATTTTAATGTCTGCAACATGTGGCTAAAAGGAAAATAATTTCTAACTATTTCGTTTTGAACTTCAACTCCAATTCAGTTCCAACTATCCTTTTAGCCTTATCTGCAGAATTACAGTAAACAGGCAGCCGCAGGCAGGAAGACTTCTGTATTATTCTGGTCATGAACAAATTCAGTTTTCTGCTCTTTCTCAAAAGCTTTTGAGTCAAGCAAGAAGAAAAGTCTTTATACATACACCATGTCAAATTGCCACAACCATTTTCCACCTATTTTGATGATAAACCTCACAAGTAAAAGCTCCTCTGTTCAGTAAGCTAAACCTGTTTTTTTGTAGTTAGTCAAATAGATATAAACATTCACTTGTAGCGTCTCAAACAATTGGCAGAAATGGTACTAGATTTCCCAAGTCACTCAGTTAACAGCTAGATAAAACTTGCAGACAATTTTTATGGATCTTCCACCAACACTAAATGCAAGGAGTAGTTAATAAAAGAATAAGCACATTATTAACTTAAACTTCCACAGGTCCTAACAGAAAGCACATGCACTTCCAACCTAAAGGGATTTGCAACACATATGCATCAATATCAACCAAGGTTTGTTCTTTTTAGTTGATAAGATTTCACCTAATATCGTAACATTAATCAAATCAGAAAACAAACCCAAGGGCTCAACCTAAGAAATTGCTGTCATACTCCCAGTGAATTTAGGCCCCGCTCCTGCAGAAACAAGCATGCCATAATCGAGGCACCAACAAACTGACCTCAAATGTAAAATGAAAATTTGCATTCACCAATAATTTTGACATGTTGGGAGGTTTAATGAGCAGAATTTCAAAATTCAATCACAAAGCTGAACATTTGTATTTTGAAATTATAATACTTCTACTTCTTCCCAGCTCACGGAAAATGAAAGCAAAAGGAGCTAGCAAAAGGTTTTGGCAAGGATAAGGATGAAGAATATGCCTAAACAGACTTAAAACTTTAATTTAGGATAAATACTCCAATAACATATTTTATGGTTCAGTTGGAGAACATGCAACCATCCTTTTATATAAGTAAATTTCAAATACCTAGTAAAGCTCTCTCTAGCATAGTAGCACATGACCAATAACTAGTAAAGTGTCCTTCACCCACCTAAAGCAGGATTCAGAGCACATCCATAATTACCCTAAATATTAATGTCACTAACCCATGGAACTATTGTTAGCATTTACTACTCTAAATTGCATGTAAGCAATCATATATTGCTAATATATGAAAGAGTATCTTAATACTATCCACCAATTCCAAAGAGAACAGAACTACAGAACACTGTAAAACTAAGTATTGTGATAATTAATAATCATTACATGGGGAAAAAGTCATACTTGAAACCAAGATGCCATCATCTTCATCGTCATAGACAATTGCAGCTTTGAAACCAGCCTTCTGTGCCCTTCTAACTTTCTCCTCAAAGCTACAACCTCCTCTTATAATTAACACATAGGGGGAACTAAAATTTGAAGTTTTTTCAACTTTATTCGACAATTCTGAACACGCATCAAGGGGCTCTGCCAAAGACAATGACCCACATTCACCTGAGCTCTTCACTGCTGGAGCTGAAAATAATCAACAAAACCAGAAATCAGAACACGAAATTAACATTTCATTTATTGAATATATAGAAGGTCTAAAAATTCAATTGCCAGGTTTATTTCCTTAATATTCAACATGAAACCATTACACTATCAATAATAAACTAAAGAAAACAATATATTTAAGCATCTAAGTTTCCAATTAATTCATAGAAGCATAAAAATCTCAACTTCCACCTTACCCATAAAGATTAAATGGCCGAACTTCTAAACTTTCTCAGCTTCAGCAATATTAAAAAAAAAAACAAAAAAAAAAAAAAAAATAAATAGATTAAAGTATGAATAAGTTCCTTAAATACTGGGAGGTCTCTAAAGCAAGATATGCATGCCAGACAGGATGAACAAGAACTATCTAAGAACACTGTAAACTTAAGCTATTTAAATGTGGACTATATTGGGTACTAATAATCATTTACATAGGGGGGAAGTAGAGAGTCCCTACTTTGACACCACAACACGAACTCGTCCAGGTCATCTTCAAATCTGTTCATGGAGACAATGCCAGCTGTTGAAAGCTCCAGCCCTTCTGTGCCCTTCTAAACCTTTCTCCCTCAAGAAAGCTATCAACACTCTCTTTCTTAGAGAGATCTCAACGCCATAGGTGGGAAGCTAAAATTTGAAGTTATTTAATCGACACTTTATCTTCGACAAAGTCTGTGAAACGCGCAACGCATCTATATGGGGCTCTGCCAGAAGTAGGCTGGTACTCAAAAGGCAGGCTTGAGGTGAAGGATAACATTCTGGGTGGGGAAATTCGGAGTAAAGAAGGAGACATTTATATAGGGTGGCTAAGGTTTTCTAGTTGACCGATCTCTCCGGGATCAGCGCAATGACTCTCCACATTTCACTCTCTCTCTCTGAGCTTCTTCCACTGTCTGGGAGGCTTCTGCATATAACACTATCCTAACTCAACTCAAACCATGCATAATCCATGAACAACTCGCAAATCTCTCACATCGATTTGCGATGTATTGAAGTGTAGGTATGTGAGTGAAAGGTCTAAAAATTCAATTGCTCAGGTTTATTTCCTTAATATCAACATGAAACCATTACACTATCAATAATAAACTAAAGAAAACAATATATTTTAAAGCATCTAAGTTTCCAAATTATTCATAGAAGCATAAAAATCTCAACCTTCCCCCTTTACCCATAAAGATTTAAATGGCCGAAACTTCTAAACTTTCTCAGCTTCAGCAATATTAAAAAAAAAAACAAAAAAAAAAAAAAGAAAAAAAAAAAAAAAAAAAAAAAAAAAAGAAGAAGAGACTCACCGAAGTTAGCTTCAACATCATCGACAGACAAAGTAACGTTGCTTCCAATCAAAACCACACTTGCTGAGGTCATCAAACAGCTAGCTGATAACCAGAAGAACAAAACAACAACAAAACGCTTCATTGTTTATAAGTCCCCAATTTAACCAGAAAAAAAAAAAAAGGCCTAAACTTTATCAGAAAGTAGAAAATAAGGGTTTTGAATTTCAAGAGATGGACACATCAGCTTCCATTAGAGAGAATAATTGAATCTTTGATTCTGATTTTAGGGTTTGATGCTTTTTTTCTGCTTTGGTAAACTGAGATTTTGTTTACAGAAGCCAAAAGGAAAGAGATGAGAGGAAAGTAAAGGACAAGAAAACAAAGCTGTGCTGTATTGTGCTGTGATTTAGTGGAGCATCAGGAGGTTTCTATTTTTCATGATTATTCTTTATAATTTTTTATTGTTGTTGATGTTAGACTTGTTGATGTTAGACCTTAGTCTGGATTAGTCCAAACTCCAAAGACAACATTTTTTTTATTAATTTATTATGTGATTAGGTGATTGGTGTTGTGATTATCCTTAATCCTTAATTAACTTTACCTTTCAAAAAAAAAATCCTTAATTAACTTTAAAAAGAAGGTCCAGCTTAGAATTGTGAACAGTGATAGTGACATTATTAATCAATGGAAAAATTACTATTTCATCCCTGATTTTTGACCAAATTAATAACTTTGTTTATATATTTTGGTCAAATTATTTGGACATTCTTGAGATTTGCTTCTGTCTCACATATAATCCTTCCGTAACAAAAAAAAAAGCTGATTTTCCATTAATTATACATGAAAAGACCAAAAAACCATACCGTGGGATCCAAAAATATTAAAAAAAGAATTTTTTTTTTTTCACTTTCTCTATTTCCTTTCAACGTCAATCAGACATGCTTTCCTTCCAAAAAACTCAATCGTAATCTTGCTCCTCATTCGATATCAAGAATCAATCTTTTTTTATTCTTCCAACTCATCAATCTCCCTCAAGAAAAGCTTGAATAAAAAAAATTATAGGGCAAAAATACGAACTTGCCATTGGAGTTCCGTACCATGTCGGTCAGAACCCATACCAAGCAGAAGCTATTCCACCAAACACTGTCTGCAGTTATCCAGACAAAATTCTGATTTAGCTTAGGCAACTGCGTACTTGTGACTCCGTGAAACCTTAAAAAACTGATGCTAGTGTTAACTCAGTCCCATCCACAGTGAAAGAGAAGAAAGATGCAAAAAAGAATCACAAAGATCTCTTCAACTATGTCTTTAGAGAATTAACTGGCAAAGGTGAAGTTCAAATGGATTTTTATTGTTTGGGCTAAATTTATTCTCTATACGACTCAAAAAAGCGATATAATCAATGGATTGTTAGCTTTTTGGTTATACTTAAGTTGAAAGGGTTATAAGGTGAAACGATCAAAGTTTAGTATCAAATTTATGCATTATGTCATTAAAAAAATTACTTTTAATTGGATTTTAGATATAATTGGCTCATACACCATGTGTAGAAAAGTCCAATTAACAAATATCAATCGCAGACTATTATTATAATTATCAATAAAAATTTGTTCTAAATATTTTTGTAGTATTTATATATATTTATAATATTACAAATTGAAAGCTTTAATTTTTTTTTTAACTAGTTTTTGTGTTATGCAACCAAATAATAAAAATTGAATCAACTGAAAGATAACTTTTGGAAATAATTAATTTTTCTATAAACAAACCGTGCATAATAAACAAATATTTTTAAAAATAAATATAATATCAAGTATAGTAAATACTTAATTAGATTAAATATAGAACTTATTATCATAATTGATAGAGAGTTCATTGATCTCTTGACAAACCAAAAGAATTATCTTTATTCTTTTAAATAATAAAATTAAAATTAAAATAGACGATATATTAGATTTTTACGCTTGAAGATGATCTTGATAACCGACGACGGAGCCTTGATTTTTTTTGCGGGGGGCAAAATAACACGCGATGGGTTAAGACGCAAATCGTATCTAGGAGACGATTTGTTGTTTAACAACTTTAATTATGAGACTTCTCTATCTAAAAGATTATCCTAAACATTATAAGGAATGAAAATTTTAATCAATACAAAAAACCTTTTTTTTACTCTCAAATAAAGTCAAAAAATATTGAATAACAAATCCATAATAAAGAGTTCTTTCATTCCATGAAAAATCATTCTTTTGGTTTCGTGGTTAAGAACATATTTTAATTATTTAGGCAAGAAATGATGAGTTGAGTCTTATTTTTATAATAAGAACCAACTAAAGTAATTTAAATATTTGAGGATATACATTTCTTTTGATAACAGACGATTTGCGACATATTGCTACTTCTTCTTCCTTAGCACATGAAATCAGAAGAGAAAGATTTGTTTGCACCGGGCATAGCGAATAAGACAACTCAATTTCGCACTACTGTTGAGTTGTTGGACTTATCCACCAAGGGATTCGTGAAATTTATATACATTTCTTTTGATAGCAGATGATTTGCGACATATTGCTACTTCTTCTTCCTCAACACATGAAATCAGAAGAGAAAGATTTGTTTGCACCGGGCACAGCGAACAAGACAACTCAATTTCGCACTGCTGTTGAGTTGTTGGACTTATCCACCAAGGGATTCGTGAAATTTCTATGGATTGTGTTGGGGGAATCTACCAAAGTTAGGTAGATAGATAATTTATACAAAATAATTTAAGTTCTTATGATAATAACAAATACATACTGTTACCTCTGCTTTGTTAGGAAAAAAAATGTAACTTAAAAATTTAATCAAAGAATCAACTCTTGCTTTGTGCATGTGAGAATGTCTTGCTTTGTGCATGAGTTGTATGGCAGCGAATATGCAGAATGATGGTCCAGACATTATGGTGGTGCTTAATCTCTCCGATGATAAGGACATGGAGATGCAATTGCAGGCGACAGTGAGTCCTCCTACGAAACCGGACTAAGTCCTATGTTTGGTTGGCCGATTATTATGTGATCGTAAAGTCAATTATGATGCCATGAAGGGTTCTCTAGCAAGCTTATGGTGACCAGGCAGGGGCATTTGCATAAGTGAGTTTAAGTCGCGCTTGTTCTTGTTCCAATTTTTCCATTTAGTGGATTTGAATCGAGTTTGGGTAGGAGGTCTGTTGCGGAATTTAGCGTGGTAATGGATAAATATTTAGTTTCGGTAGTTGATGATAAATGAGAAGTAAAATAATAAATGGAAGAGACACAAGATTTACGTGGAAACCCTCTAATGTAGACGGAAAAAAACCATAGGGCGAGAGAGGAGTAGACACAAGATTTTACGTGGGGAAACCCTCCAATGTAGAGGGAAAAAAAAACACGGGGCGAGAGAGGAGTAAATGCACTATGAAAAATATGGAGATACAAATGATTTTACACCCATACAAAAAATACACTCAAGATAACACCTCACAACACTCAATGAATATGGAAAGAGAGTGTATATATATGAAAAAGGTGGTATATGAAGAGAGTGGATAGTTTAGAGAAATGCTGTTGGAGGATTGCTCTCTTGGATGAATTTCTCTAGGTTGGATGTAATGAATTTGCTTCAAGCTAGATTGCCTTATATAGAGGTGTATCACCATGAATTTGCTTCAAGCTAGATTGCCTTATATAGAGGTGTATCACCATGTGAACAAACTTCAAGTCTTCCTTCCATTGTTGAAAATGTTCCATCCTAGTCCAAGTTAGCTCACCAACATAGTCAACCAACATTGAATTTCCTTAGCCATCCAAAGACTAGTATAAACCATGAAAAACATGTGGCCACCAATATAGACTTGAAGTGTGAATCTTAGAATTCTAAGGCAATTTTAACAATCTCCACCTTGACTTAAATTTTAAGATGATCTCCTTACAAAATGATGTGCATATTCCTTTCTCGACATGCCCCAAAGGGCCTTTAGAATTGGTGAACATTGATCAAGTCCAAGCAATGCTTGAACTTGAAATTTGGAACTGATTTCGTGAGCATATCCGTAGGATTATGATTTGTAGCAATTTTCTTCACGATGATCTTCCCATCTGTCACAACATCCCGAATAAAATACTGCCTCACATCAATGTGCTTGGTCCTCTCATGATACATCTGATTTTCGGTTAAATGAATAGCACTTTGACTATCACAAAATACTATAACCACATCCTGGGTTAAACTAAGATCAGTAAACAAACCTCTTAACTAGATTGCTTCTTTAACTCCTTCAGTGATTGTAATATATTCTGCCTCCGTCGTTGACAGTGCCACAATGGACTGTAGGTTAGCTTTTCAGCTAATGGCAAATTGCATAAAGTAAATACATAACTTGACAAAGACCTTCTCTTATCAAGATCACCTGCATAATTAGAGTCAACATATCCAACAACAATATTCGGTGTCACCTTATTCCTATCAAAAACCAATCTGGTATCCGCCGAACCTTTCAAGTAGCGAATATCCATTTAACTGCTTGCCTTACCTGGATTATTCATGTACATGCTCACAACACTAACTGCTTGTGCAAGATCAGGTCTAGTGCATACCATAACATACATAAGACTACCAACTGCACTAAAATAGGGCACATGTGGCAATTGCTCTTTCTCTTCATTAGATTGAGGGCAAAAATCAGATGATAATTTAAAATGAGCTGCAAGAGGAGTACTCACAGGTTTTGAGTTATTCATGTTGAATCTCTCAAGAACCTTCTCAATGTAATTTCTTTGAGATAAATACAATTTTCCAGCTAATCAGTCTCTATGAATCTCCATACCAAGAATTTGGGTAACTCCATACAAAGATTTTCTTTACAAGCCAAGATCTTTCCTCTCCAAATTCACTACTTCAACTGATCTTTCCAATTCTTTGATTAGTGACTTATCTTTCAATTCTTTGATTAGTGACTTATCACAAGCAGCAATTAGCATGTCATCAACATATAACAATAAGTAGACAAAAGATCCATCTGAAAACTTCTTGTGATAAACACAATTATCATACTGACTATGACAATGCCCATGCTAAACCATAAATGAATCAAACCTTTTGTACCATTGTCTAAGGGACTGTTTTAGTCCATAAAGAGACTTCTTCAAGTGACTAACGTAGTCTTCTTTTTGAGGAACAACAAATCCTTCTGGTTGTTGCATATAAATTTGCTCCTCGAGCTCTCCATGTAAGAAAGCAGTCTTGACATCAAGTTGTTCTAATTCAAGATCTTGCAAGGCAACAAGGGCAAGTAGTACACGTATAGAAATATGACAAATAACAGGAGAAAACATTTCATTAAAGTCTACACCATGTTTTTGAGTGTAGCCTTTAGCAACTAAACAAACGTGCTTTATATCTTGCATCTTCAACTTCGGGGTTGCCTTCTTTCTTCTTATAGACCCATTTACAGCCTACAACTCTTTGGCCTTTTGGCAATTTCACCAACTGCCAAGTATCATTCTTGTGCAGAGATTCAATTTCTTCTTGCATCGCAATGCCACTC